AAATGTATTTTCAGGTCCTTTGCCCATTTTTAATCAGATTATTTGGGGGTTGAGCTGCAGTTCTTCAGGGTAATGTTGGCAATAAACTTGGAAGAATTCATTCCTTTTTTAGTTTTGGGATAGTTTGAGAAGGCAGATACTCATTCTTTAAATGTTTGGTAGAGAGTCACTGGACTGAATCAGTGGAGCATGCAACTCCTGATCTCAGAGTTGTGAGTTTGAGCCCCACATTGGGTATAGAGATTACTTAAAATCTTTTTTAAAATAAATTTTAAAATAAATGTATGATAGACTTCACCTGTGAAGCCATTTAGTCCTGGACTTTTGTTGGAATACCTTTGATTACCAATTCAATTTTTTTTCTGCCTTTTCTTTTTCCCCCAATTTCATTACTAGTAATCAGTCTGTTCAGGTTTTGTTTCTTCTTCATTCAGTCTTGGAACGTTGTATGTTTCTAGGAATTATCCATTTCTAGGTGGCTCAATTTGTTGGCATGTAACTTGTCATAGTTATCTAGTAATCCTGTATATTTCTGTGGTGTAAGTTGTAATTTCTCCTTTTTCATTTCTCATTTTTCTAAATTTTTTTTCTTTTTTCTTTTTTTTTTAATTTTTTTTAATTTTGTTTTTTCATTTCTCATTTTATTTGAGTCCTATCTTGAGTCTGGCCAGAGATTTACCAATTTTTTTTATCTTTTGGAAGAAACCACTCTTTCACTGATCTTTTCTGTTGTTTTCATCTCTATTTTATTTCCTTTCTGATCTGTATTATTTCCTTCTACTACTTTTGGGCTTGTTTTGTTCTTCTAGTTCCTTTAGGTGAAAGGTTAGATTAAGATTTTTCTTCTTTCTCACGGTAGACTATCACAATAAATTCTCCTCTTAGAATTCGTTTTGCTGCATCTCAAAGATTGTGAACCTTTATGTTTCCATTATCATTTTTCTCTTTATTCCTTTGATTTTTTTCATTGATCTGTTGGTTGTTTAGTAGCATGTTTAGTTTCCATGTGTTTATATTTATTCATTTTTTTTTAAATTAATCCCTTTATCATTATGTAATGCCCTTTTTTGTCTCTTGTTGCAGTCTTTGTTTTAAAGTCTGTTCTCAGGGCGCCTGGGTGGCTCAGCCATTTAAGCATCCAACCCTTGATCAGCTTGAGATCTGTTCTGACCTGAGCATTGCTACTCCAGCTTTTTTTTTCCCCTCCATTTGCATGGAATATCTTCTTCCAGTTCTTTCAGTTTGCCCTTATGTGTCATTAGGTGTGAAGTGAATCTCTTTTAGGTGGCAGGTAGATGGGTCTTGTTTTTTCATCCATTCACCCTTTGTCTTTTGATTGGAGCATTTAGACCATTTACATTTAAAGTAATTATTGATAGGTATGTACTTATTGCCATTCTTAATTGTTCTCTGTTTTATAGTTTCTTTGTTTCTTCCTTTAAAAAAAAATATTTATTTATTGATGAGAGACACAGGCAGAAGGAGAAGCAGGCTCCATGCGGGAAGCCTGATGTGGGACTCAATCCTGGGACCCTGGGATCATGCCCTGAGCCAAAGGCAGGCATACAACTGCTGAGCCACCCAGGTGCCCCCTTTCTGTTCCTTTCTTGGTCTGCTTAGATTCCTTTCTCATCTTTTGTGTATCTACTATAGGCTTTTGCTTTATGGTTACCATGAGGCTGATATTTATTTATAATATATCTTTAACAGTCTATTTGAAGTTGGCAAGAACTTATGCATGAATGCATTTTTACTCTCCACCCACATTTTATGTTTCTGAGGTCAAATTTTGCATCTTTTTATCTTGCATATCCCTTAACTAATTATTATAGTCATAGTTATTTTTACTACTTTTGTCTTTTAATCTTCATATTAGCTTTATTTGTGATTAGGCCAGTACTTTTACTACATATTTACCTTAACTGGTGAGTTTTCTACTTTCATATGTTTTCCTGTTATTAATAAGCACCTTTTCTTTTCAACTTAAAGAATACCCTTTATCATGTCCCTTTTTTCCCCAAAGATTATTTGAAAAAGAGAGAACAGAGATAAAGCACAGATGGGGGGGGAAGGGCAGAGGGAGAGGGAGAAGCAGACTCTCCACTGAGCAGAGAGCCCAACGTAGGGCTTGATCCCAGGACCCTGAGATCATGACCTGAGCTAAAGGCAAATGCTTAACCAACTGAATGCCATCCAGGCACCACCTGCTTTCACATTTCTTGTAAGGCAAGCTTAGTGGTCATGAGTTCCATTCATTATTTGCTTGTTTGGAAAGCTCTCCTTCAATTCTGAATAACTTCCGTGGGTGGAGTACTCTTGGTTGGAAGTTTTTTTCTTTCAGCACTTTGAGACATGTTTTTTATCTTGATTATAGTGGTAGTTTTACAGGGTATACCAATGCCAGAGCTCATTAGATTGTGCGGTTTATGAGCAGTGAACGTCAATAATACCTCAAAGCTGTTCTTAAGATTTTATTTTGTAGTAGAAAGAAACAGACTGTTACTGCTATGCAAGAACTCAAAAACTATTGTTTCCATGAGCACTTTCTGAGGTATCTACTAGAGAATAAGCTTCAGACAACAAAAATGACTAGAAAAACATCAAATATAGTTAACTGTAGAGAACTAAGACTAAATGAGGGTTATAAGGCAGAGTATAGCTATATGCTCTGTTAAGGTATCATGCAACTGTTTAAAAAGTGGGCGTGGGGCTTTGGGTGGTTCACTTGGTTAAGGGTTGGACTCTTGATTTCAGCTTCTTTAGGTCATGATCTCAGGGTGGTGAGATCAAGCCCTGCATCAGGCTCTGTGCTCAGCAGAGTATGTTTGAAGTTCTGTCTCTCCCTCTCCCCCTCGCCCCACTTACATGCTCTCTCTCAATAAATAAATCTTTTTTTTTTTTTTCTTTAAAGTGGGCACATGCAGAGCTGGAGATCTAGGATCTTTTAATGTTGGTAACCATCACACTAAACACCCTGCTCCTTCCCCCCCCAAAAAAAAAAAAAAAAAAAAACCACCTATGGCAGAGAATGGGGAGAACACTGCAAACATTTTTTTAAATGTTTTGACTTACTGTATTGGCAGTAACTGAGACTGTTGAGTATGAAATGAGATAAAATAATTATGTGGCAGTGAGCATCCCTAGCACCAGATTATAGTCTTGAAATATAGTTCCTCACTAAAAGAAACCCTAATTCTTGAGGAACTGGCTGATCTTAGGTCTGAGGCAGGAAATGTACAAGATAAGCCTGGGACATTTTGTGATACCTCTAACAGAAATGATCAAAGACATACTTTGATATAGTTAAGTCAGAGGAGCCAATTTGAACACGTACTGCAGTTAGGTGTCAGAAAAATGAGAATAATTGCAGTGAACTGAAACCCATCAAATATGCTTAAAACCATGAGTTTATAAAGAGAATCAGGGTGGCTCAGTCATCTGCCTACATCTCAGGTCATGATCCCAGGGGTCTTGGGATCCCAGAGCAGCAGGTCTCACATCAGGCTTCCTGCTCAGGAGGGAGCCTATCACACTTCCTGCTTGTGTTCTTGTTCATTTTCTCAAACAAAATATGAAATAAAAAATAAAAAATAATAGAATCATTCATCCTTGAAGAATGTGTCAAACATCTATCCTACATTTCCTATCTGATCTGTACCCATGGGGAGCCAAATATTAATGAGGGAAATCTCCCCTGTCTAGATTATTCTATATAATAAATAACAAAGAAATGAATATAATAGCACCATTGTGTAATGTCCAATGAATTAAAAGAGGCATAAATTGTTCATAGGTACTAATACCATAAAAGACAACCTGATGTCATTTGTCTCCCAATGTAAGAATAATTTACTGCCTGTAGTATTTTTTTAATATTTTTTAAAGATTTTATGTATTTATTCATGAGAGAGGCAAAGACACAGGCAGAGGGAGAAGCAGGGTCCCCACAGGGAGCCTTATACGATCGAGGAACTCTGGGATCACACCCTGAGCCAAAGGCTGAGGCTCAACCGCTGAGCCACCCAGGCATCCTACTGCCTGCAGTCTTAACAAAGGAGTCAGACTTGAGTCTGACCCAGTCTGGGATCCAGCTGACAATTTTTAGGAATTCAGAGGTCTGAGTGTGAAATAGCAAATCAGCCTGAGAGTCTATAAGTCAGATGACTGGTCTTTCTTCAACAAAAAAATGGTAAGGAAAAAAAAAGATTAGGGGGAATCTATAAATAAGGAGATGTAAAAAAATTTTTAAAAATAAAAAATTGGGGATCCCTGGGTGGCTCAGCGGTTTGGTGCCTGCTTTCAGCCCAGGTTGTGATCCTGGAGACCTGGGATCGAGTCCTGCGTTGGGCTCCCTGCATGGAGCCTGCTTCTCCCTCTGCCTGTGTCTCTGCCTCTTTCTCTCTCTGTGTCTCTCATGAATGAATGAATGAATGAATGAATGAATACATAAATAAATAAATAAAATCTTTAAAATAAAATTAAATTAAAAAATTTAAATGGTGAGACAGTATCTAGGGATGCATATTTGGGTGACAAAACTAAAGGGGAAAAAAAAGGAAGAAATCGGAAGTCAGGAAAATGTTGCCAAGAAGAATGGCTATGACTCAGGTGGGACATAATGACAGGGCTTCCAGGGTAAATGGCAATTTGATATCTTGAACTGGTGGTTACAAGAGTGCTTTAGAGTAGTACTTCATTAAACTTTGCATGTTTTTCTGAACCTGTGCTTTCTGTTTATATATTTTTTTAATGTTCTGTTTCTTAAAAAAATTCCTGGGGAGTCCCTAACTCCTACTTTAAATGTATATTGCTGAAAAATACATGTACTGTTAGGACTCCTTGAAAGAGCATCATGGGGGCTAATCCTTAACAAAACAAAACAGTGGTCCTGCATAATCCTGTCCTGAGAATTGGAGGGGGATACACTGCAGCTTTGAGTCTGCAGAAGCAGGGCTTTGCTGCAGGACTAAAGGGCAGTCACCCCAACCCTTTCCTCACAGATTGGCTGCAATGCCGTCAGTTGGGCCCCTGCTGTTGTACCTGGAAGCCTTATAGACCAGCCATCGGGACAGAAGCCCAACTACATCAAGAAGTTTGCTTCGGGCGGCTGTGACAACCTCATCAAACTGTGGAAGTAAGTGGGTGTGGTGGACTTACCTCAAGGGGACACTTCTTACCTTCTACCCTGCTACCTACTGTGACTCAGCCACAGTCCTGAAGAAATGGGATCCCCTTCTTTTCCCCTCCTGCCTACAGAATACGGTTTTCAGTCTGTCAGAGGACATCCTTTAGAAACAACTTGGCCTTGCTCAAGTACTTTAATTCTTTACCTGATTCCCAATTCTTGGAGCCATTGGCTGTGGACAAACAGCATTTCGTGGAATATTCTTCTATAGCTGATGAACTGAGTAAAAATCTACAAGGTCAAGGAATGAAATCAAAAAGATGGACTAGCTTCTTGGCCCCTGCAGAGCCTACAGGGTGGGGGTACAATGGAGGTGTGGTAAACACACCTGGGCTGCTACCTGCTGCTGCATTTTCCCTTTCTGTCTCCTCTATTAGGGAGGAGGAGGATGGCCAGTGGAAGGAGGAACAGAAACTAGAAGCGCACAGTGACTGGGTTCGAGATGTGGCCTGGGCCCCCTCCATTGGCTTGCCCACCAGCACCATCGCCAGTTGCTCCCAGGTCAGCTCAGATCCATGAGAGCTTCCCGTGTTGTTTAATCTCTGAGTAAGTCCCATCAACCATTACAGTCCCCCTAAGGTAAAGTCTAAAAAGGTAAGGGCAAGGCAACAGGCACCTCTGGACTAGTGCAAGTAGGACAGTGCTAGGATCCAGGTCATCTTGTGGAGAAGGCTTGATCAGAAGGCACAAGTGGCTTACCTCCACTGAGCTATGAGTTGGGCCAACTCCAGACCAGTTACCCCTCAGCATTATGCAGCTGGGGAAGAGAGCTGCCCAGGTCCATTCTGAGAGTGTTCCCAAGCAGGGACCAGGATAGTTGGAAGTCCTAGGATCTTGGGCTCACCTAGATCAGTTTTCACAGACAGATCACAAAGGAAAAACCAAGGACAAGCCTTAAATTATATGCTAATAACTCCACCATAGACAAAGGTTAGCCAGGCTTCACTTGAGCCTGTTATGTTTGGTTCTAAATTTGAGGACTTTTTAAACTTGTCCCTTCTCATTCTCTGAGCTTGGTTTATAGACAGCCATACCCATTGGGTTGAGAAAATTAGAGCCAAAGGCAAAACGAGATGATTTGGCAGACATGAGGAAAACCTAGAGAACATTTTAGAGTTAGCCATATAAAGTTCATACCTGAAACCAGTATGAGCACAAGAACCTGGGAGACGCAACCAATGTAAAATATGTTCCTAGGGTAAAGGGATAATGCTGGGCTGGGAATTGGCCATCACATCTGTGCACACCCAGGACGGTCTCGGCTGTTCATTGTGCTAAATCCCACCTCATTCCTGCAAAAGACCAGTATGGCTCTAAATAGGATATCCCCAGTTCAAGATCCTTGCCTTACCTTCCCTGATTCTAACTTGTCTTTTCCCAGGACGGTCGTGTGTTCATCTGGACTTGTGATGACACCTCAGGCAATACATGGTCACCCAGACTGTTGCACAAGTTCAATGATGTTGTGTGGCATGTGAGCTGGTCCATCACAGCCAACATCCTGGCTGTCTCGGGCGGAGACAATAAGGTACAGTCCATTTCCGTGACATGGTGGTCAGGGCTTTGTCTTCACCCACTAAAAAGTGCAGTTGAATTCTCCATATAAGGTTAGGCTTGGAAGGAGCCTTAATGAAGACTGTTTTGAGCACATCTCTTAAATATATCATTAAATCTTACAATCCCCTGCCCTTCCCCCCTCCGCCTGCTGTCCCGAGGTGGTTTGTCCCCCCTTTTGCAAATACGAAAGAAGCTGACAGTGGTAGTTAGACTTGCAGAGGGGCCACAAAGCTATTAGGTGGAAGAGTTTGTAATCAGGCCCAAGTTAAATCCAAACCCACTGCCCTGGTAGTCCATCACCGTCACCATTTTACCACCTTGTCTTCATGATGACATTCAATTAGCACTGCTCAAAAGTTAATACATTAAAAAAAAAAATCTCATAAACAAAAGCATAAAGATTGAAGGTTTTTGTCAGACACCAAAGAGGCATATTTCTAAAAATCTGTGTAATTCATGGGTATTATTATTCACCCACTGTATACCTTTTCTGCACTATGAGCCAGTACAAAGGAAGAGACATGGAGACAAAGTGGCCACTGGAAAACAGTAAAACAAAAAGTAGCTCAGAACATTATAGCAACAAAGCAAATGCACTTGAAGAATCCTGACCACTTCATTGAACCCTGCCGTATAAAGTTACAGATCCTCTGCCTAAGAGGAGAGGGGTCAGCTAGAGAGATGGCAGTGACTTGTTACCTCTTCCTTTCTGAAGGCAGCTTTTTTAATCATGACAAAATACGTATAAAGTTCCCCCATCTTAGCCGTTTTTAAGTGTATAGTTCAGTAGTTTGGAGAACATTCACATTATTGTGCAGCCATCACCACCATCCACCTCTAAACTGTTCGTCTTTCCCAGCTGAAACTCTGTCCTCACTGGACACTAACCCCCACCCACCCCTATCCCTGGTAAGCACCATTCTTACTTCATGTCTCTGTGAATTTGCCCTAGGGACCTCCTGTAAGTGGAATCCTATATAGTGTTCTCATCTTTGTTGTACCACGTGTCTGTTTCAAGACTGAATAATACTCTGTTCTACCACATTGTATTTATCCATACATTGAGGGACCCTGGGGTGCTTCACCTTTGGCTCTTATCAGTAATGCTGTGCACATGGGTGTACAAGTAACACACCTTTGAGACCCTCTGCAGGCAGTTTTTATCCAGGCTGGGGATACCTTTCATGTGTAGTGATTCCAGAAAGATCTAGCAGGCCCTGTCTCAAAGCCATAGAATTTTAGAGCTGGAGTGACCCTCAAAGAAAACTAGCCCTCTTTATTTCTAGTAAATGCCTGAGCCAGGACTAGACCCCAGATTTGGTGGCACCCAGAACAGGCCAACAGACCCTGACTTGACTGAGGAGCAGCCCTACTGTAGTGTTTACAAGGCAGTAGGAAGTGCCCGGTTGTACTTTCCATGTTTGCGGTCTGCTGTCATTATTCTTTTGTGCTTCTTGATCTTTATCAGCCTATTTCCTACAAGGAGCTCACCTCTATTGTTTGCATAGTATTTATTCCTTCACTAAAGGACTTGGTAGATTTTCAGTCTAGAGCATTCTGTGCAGTGCATCTGTAGTCAACAATGTCTCCAAACCAGAAATTCTGGGGCAGCCCCAGTGGCTCAGCGGTTTAGCACCACCTTCAGCCAAGGGCCTGATCCTGGAGACCCGGGATTGAGTCCCATGTCAGGCTCACTGCATGGAGCCTACTTCTCCTTCTGCCTGTGTCTCTACCTCTCTCTCTGTGTCTCTCATGAATAAATAAATCTTTTTAAAAAAAAATAAATAAAGCAGAAATTCTTAAAATCTTTTTTTTAATCAAATACATGTACACAGCTTAAGTAGTTTTTATTAGGTTATGATTTATTAATGTAGTTTCCTAATTTTCATTCTCCAGGAGCAAACCTTTTCGATGCTTAGCATTTCTTCTGCTGTTTACTTCAGTGTAGAAATAACATACTTACTCCTCTGTCATCTTCCTCTAGCATACTTCTCAGACTTTAGTATTAAACTTGTTAAAACATAGATTGCCAAGCCCACTCCAGAGCTTCTGAATTTCAGCTGGGTGAGGACCCAAGAATTTGCGGTTTTCACAAGTTCTTGGTCCTACAGATGTCTTGGTCTAGAGACCACGCTTTGAGAACCATTGTTCTCTTCCCCTGTATCCTCACAGAAGTTACTGCAACTTGGTTAAAACGACATCCCTGTTCACATTATTATTTATTACTACTATTACTGTTACTTTGTGTTACAGAATTTCCAGCACTGCCCCCTCTCCACTGTTTTTATTTTTTAAGGTATTTTTCCAGTTTTATTGAAATATAATAGACTTACATCATAAGTTGAAAGTGTATAGCATAATGGTTTGACCTACATATACTGTGAAATGATCACAGTAAGTTTAGCATCCATCATTTCATATAGGTACAATAAAAGAGAAAGCAAAAAAGTTTTTCCTTGTGATGAGAACTCCTCTCATCTCACAGTATTTAGTCTCTCACAGTTTTCATATGGACCATATAGTGGTGTGAGCTATTGTCATCATTACATCCCTAGTACTTCCATGTCTTAGGACTGCAAGTGTGTACCTCTTGACCCTCCACCCCCAGCTCTGCTAACTACAAATCTGAACTCTTCTGTGATTGGTTTTGGATCTTTTATGAGTGTTTTCAGTTTTGTTTTTAGACTCTACATATAAATGAGGTATATAGTGTTGATCTTTCTCTTATTTCATTTAGCATAATGCCCTCAAAGTCCACGCATGTGGGCACCCTGGGTGACTCAGTGGTTTAGCGCCACCTTCAGCCCGGGGCGTGCTCCCTGCATGGAGCCTGCTTCTCCCTCTGCTTGTGTCTCTGCCCCTCTCTCCCTCTCTCCCTCTCTCCCTCTCTCTCTCTCTCTCTCTCTCTCTCTCTCTCTCTGTCTCTCATGAATGAATAAATAAAATCTTTTAAAAAAAAGTCCACGCATGTGGTCTCAAATATTTCATTTTTTGTGCCTGAATAATATTCCATTGGATATATGTACCATAACTTCTTTATCCATTTATCTGTTGGTAGACATTTAGGTCATTTCCATGTCTTGGCTATTATAAGTAATGGTACTGTGAATTAGAGGTGCAGATATTTCCAAGGTAGGATTTTCATTTTCTTCAGATAAATCTCTAGAAGTTGAATTGGTGGATCATATAGTAATATTTTTAATTTTTTGAGGATCCTCCATACTGTTTTCCATAGCAGCTGTGCCAGTTTATAGTCCCACCAGCTGTGCACAAGAGTTCCCTTTTCCCCACATCCTTGCCAGTGCTTGTGTTTTTATCTCTTTGATGATGGCCATTCTAACATGTGTGAGGTTGAAATCTTTCTTACTGTGGTTTTGATTTGCATTTCCCCAGTGATAAGTTATGTTGAGCACCTTTTCATGTACCTGTTGGCCTTTATAGATTCTTTTTTGGAGAAATGTTCTATTCAGATCTTTTGCCCATTTTTTAATTTGATTATTTGACTTTCTGATACTGATTTCTAGGAGTTCTTTGGATATTTTGGATATGAACTCTTTATCTGATGTATTATTTGCAAACATTTTTTCACAACTGTTGACTGTTTTGCTGTGCAGAAGCTTTTTAGTTTAATGCTCTTTGCATTAAACTTTATATTTTGTTGCTTGTGCTTTAGGTGTCCCATCCAAAAAATCATTGCCAAGATCCATACCAAAGAGCTTGTTTCTTGTACTTTCCTCTAGGACTTTCATGGTTTCAGGTCTTATATTTAGTTTTTGTGAGAAGTGTAAGATAAGGATCTGGTTTTATTCTTTTACACGAGAGTATCCAGTTTTATCCACCACCATTTATTAAAGAGACTGTCCTTTCTCCATTGAGTATTCTTGGCTCCCTTGCCAAGTATTAGTTAACCATTTATGTTTGGGTTTATTTCTGAGCTTTCTGTTTATTTCTGATTCTGTTCCATTGATCTATTTGTTTTTATGCCAGTACCATACCGTTTTAATTACTGTAGCTTTGTAGCTTAAAATAAAAAAGTATGATGCTTCTCACTTTGTTTTTCTCAGGATTGCTTTGGATATTTGGGGTCTTTTGGGGTTCCATATAAATTTTAGGACTCTCTACTTTTGTTTAAAAAAAAAAGCCTTTTGAATCTTGATAGGAATTGCATTGAATCTATAGATGGCTTTTGTTACTACTGACCTTTTAACAATATGATTTCTTCTAATCTGTGAACAAGAAGCCTTTCCATTTATTTGTGCCTTCAGTTTCTTTTATCCCTGACTTGTAGTTTGCAGAGTAGAGATCTTTCATCTCCTTGGTTAGGTTGATTTATAAGTATTTTGTTTTTGATGCTATTGCAAGGATCATTTTCTTTTTTAGATAATTTGTTCTTAGTGTATAGAAACACTACTGTTTTGTATGTTAATTTTGTACCCTCCAACTTTAATGAATTCATTGTTTAGATCTAAGTTTTTTGATGAGATCTTTAGGATTTTCTGTATATAAAATCTGTCATCTATAAATAGAAACAATTTTAGTTTTTCCTTACCAGTTCTGATGCTTTTTTTTTTTCTTGCCTGACTGCTCTGGCAAGGACTTCCCCTACTGTGTTGAAAAATACTATATTAGCTGTGGGTTTATCACATATGGCCTTTAAGAGTTATTATAAACAGATGTTGAATTTTGTCAAATGCTTTCTCTGCATCTACTGAATAGATAGGATTCTTCTTTTATTCTATTGTGAGGTATCACATTGATTGATGTACCGTTGTTGAATCATCCTTGCATTCCAAGTATGACTCCTGTTTGATCGTGGGAAATGATCCTTTTAATATACTGCCAAATTCACTTTGCTTCTATTTCATCAGGGTTATTTGTAATTTTCTTTTCTGGCTTTGGTATTGGAGTAATGTTAGCCTCATGAGTGTGTGGGTGTGTTTCTTCTTTTATAATTCTTTTTGGAAGATTTTGAGGATTGATTTAAAATTCCTAAATGTTTGGTTAAATTCACCAGTGAGGGCAGCGCAGGTAGCTCAGCGGTTTAGCGCCACCTTCAGCCCAGGGCCTGATTCTGGAGACCCGAGATCAAGTCCCACGTCGGGCTCCCTGCATGGAGCCTGCTTCTCCCTCTGTCTCTACCTCTCTCTCTGTCTCTCATGAATAAATAAATAAAATATTTACAAATAAATAAATAAACCAGTGAAACCATCTATCTGGGCCTGGGCTTTTTTACACTAGGAGATTTTTGATTGATTCATTCTCCTTACTTATTTGGATTTCCTATTTCAGAAAAAATAGGAATTTTTATACTTTAATTTTTATAAAAGTAAAATTTTTTATTCAGATTTTCTGTTTCTTCCTGATTCATTCCTTGGTAGTGTTCTAGATTTCTAAGAATCTGTCCATTATCTCTAGGGTGACCAGTTTGTTGGCACAGGTGTTTCATCATAGCATCTTATTTTTCTTTGTATTTCTGTGATTATCAGTTGGAATGTCTCTTTTTTCATTTACAATTTTGTTTTGGATCCTCTTTTTTCATTGGTTAGTTTAGCTAAAGTTGTGTCAGTTTTATCTTGTCAAAGAACCAGCTCTTTTGGCTAATCTTTTTTTTTTTTTTTTTTAATATTTATTTATTCATGAGAGACAGAGACACAGGCAGAGGGAGAAGCAGGCTCCATGCAGGGAGCCCCATGTGAGACTCGATCCCAGAACTCCGGAATCACGCCCTAGGCGGAAGGCAGGCACTAAACCGCTGAGCCACCCACGGGTCGATCCCTGGCTAATCTTTCTTTTGTTTTCCTATTCTGTATTTCATTTATTTCTGCTCTGATGGTTATTATTTCCTTGCTTCTGCTAGCTTTGGGTGAAGTTTGTTCTTTTTCTAATTCCTTAAGGCATAGAATTAGGTTATTTATGTGGGATGGGTCTTGCTTCTTAATTTAGGCATTTATTCCTATAAACTTCTCCCCAAAAACTGCTTTTGCTGCATCCTATTAGTTTAGATATATTGTGTTTCTATTTTCATTTCAAAATAATTTCATTTCTTCTTTGATCCATTGGTGGTTCAAGAGAGTAATTTGTGTGTGTTTGTGAATTTCTCTTTCCTCTTGTTATTGATTTCTAGTTTCATACCATTATAATTAGAGAAGATGCTTGGTTTGATTTCAGGTTGTTTTTTTTTTAATTTGTTAAGACTTGTTTTGTGGTGTGACCTATCTATTTGGATGATCTGTCCATTGTTGCTCTTTATTTCTCTGTTTAGTTGTTAGTTTTTGATTTATATAATTAGAATTGTTACATCCTCTTGATGTGTTAACCCCTTTGTCTCTTTTTATTATTTTTAAAGTCTGTGTGATATTAACTATAGCTACCTCTTCTTTGTGGTTACCATTTGCTTCAAATAGATTTTTCCTTTCCTTCTTAGTCTCTGTCTTAAAGGCTAAAGTGAATCTCTTGCATGAATCATATTGATGGATCTTAGTTTTTGTATTCATTCAGCCATTTGTTGTCTTGTTTGGAGAGTTTAATACATCTGAAGTAATTATTAGTAAGGCCTTACACAATTGCCATTTTGTTTATTGTTTTCTGAATGTTCCGTTGATCCATTGTTAATTGTTTCTTATCCTTTTTTGTGTGTTTTGATGTCTTAAAGTATCAGTATGCTTTGACTTGTCATGTTCTTTTGTCTAATACTTCAGGTTTTCCCTTTTGGGCTGTAAGGCTTACATAAAACATCTTAACTTCAATAGAATTTCTAATCTTTACACTTTTACTTCTCCCCCTTACATTTTAGGTTAGTGATGTTAAAATTTACATATTTTATAATGTATAGCTATTAACAGTAGGTACGGTTATTTTTTACTACATTTTTTAACTTTTAAAGGAATTGTAAGTGAATTACACACCACCATCACCATATTACAGAATCCAACTTTATGTATTTATCATTACCAGTGAGTTTTATGCTGCCTTGTATAATGTTAATGAGCATCCTTTTACTTGTATTGAAAGAACTCCCTTTAGCTTTTCTCATAAAGCAAGTATAGTGGTGATTAGTTCCCTCAGTTTTTGTTGTAGAAAGTCCATCCCTTCTTCATTTCTGAAGGACACTTTTATTACTTGGTATATTATTCTTGGTTAACAGGTTTTTTTGTTGTTGTTTGTTTTTAATATATCCCATTTTCTTCTGGCCTGAAAAGCTTCTATTGAGAAATTTGCTCATAGTTTTATGGTGGTTCCCTTGTATGTAACTCTCTCTCTAGCTGCTTTTAAAATTCTTTGACTTTTGAGAGTTATAACGTATGTGTCTTTGTAGCCCTGTTTGGATTCAACCTATTTAGGCCTCCTGGATCTAGATGTCGGTTTCTCTCCCCAGGTTTGGGAAGTTTTCAGGCCTCATTGCTTGAAATATACTCTATGTCCCTTTCTCATCTTCTGGAATTCTCTTTAAGTGAATATTGCTTTTCATTCCATCCCATTGCAGTCTTTACTGTCTGTTTCCGTTCCTCAGGGTAATTTCCAGTGTCCTGTCCTCCATGTTGCTGATTTCTTTCTTCTGTGTGGTCAACTCTGCTTTTGAAACTCTGCTAAATTTTTCAGTTTTTGTGTTTTTTAGCTCTAGGGTTTCTGGTGGGTTTGTTTTTAATGGTGTCTATTTTTGTTGAGCTTAATTTAGTTATACATGCTTATAATTCACTAAACTGAAGAGGATTATTCTGAATTCTTTGTCCTACAGTTCATAGATTTTCATTTCTTTAGTCAGAGCTTTATTAGTTTCCTTTAGTGATATATTTATGTGGTTTTCTGTGATCCTCATGTTGGTATCCGTCTCCTCTTCTGGCCTTTGCAGGTTCACTGTGGCATTTTAATCAGTTTGCTCAGTTTGGGTTTCTGGTCCTACTGGCAAGGTTTTTGGGCAAGTGCAGCCACTGGTTAAGGTCTGTTTTTAAGTATTTGAGCTCTTAGGATAGGGGGTAGTCCCCTGACATGAAGAGCAAGTAGGACTGCTAGCTGTTAGTTCCCTGCCCAGGTGAGGCTAGAAGATCGGATTCTCTGGCTTGGCTTCCTACTCAGCAATAGATGAGTCTAGGAAATCAGAAAAAGACAACAGGGATGTATGTGGCATTTATATGAAAGTAAAATGGACATTTTTGTCATTTGGCCTAGAGAAGGGACATATCTACTCAGGAGAAAAGTAGCTCATATTATTCCTCATATTAGCTTTCAAAGAATTAGAGACTCCATTTCTAAAAGTCTTGGCCCATGCCTGGTATTCATAATAGTTGCTCAGTAAGTGTCGACAGCACCTTGAAATCCCAAATCTGCTTGTACTGTACAAAGGGCCTGAAAGCCTGCTGAACAAATCCCCTGGATTTTTTTTTTTTTCTTCTCTGACCTGATGGGGCAGCAGGACAGCACCCAGAGCTTACACAGCTTGTTTGGAGACCCAAACTAGGCAAGACTGTAGACTGAACATCTGGTTAGGTGAGGCCACTGGTTGTACTCTGTAGATGGGAAGCCAGGTGCTGTGCGCTGTATTCTAGTGCCACTGTAAGCAGGGTTGTTCAGCTTCCCACATGCATGTATCGCTGCTTAGATACAAAATGTATTTCCCTGCCCTGGCACAGTGGGAGAAGCAACTTTAAGGCCACTAATACTTTTCTTGTGGTCTTAACTTCAAGCCAATCTGTCCCCAAGTTTCCTGGTGAAATAAGGCCACTGGCTTTTGCTGTGAGGACCACCAGCTCTCCCCACCACCCCTGTCCCCCTCTCTGCTAGAATTGCAGGGTCATGCCACTTCCAGGTGGTAGAGTGAGCCCTTGCTGTCAGATGGGCTAGTGGGCCCACCTCTGCTACCTGGGCAGCCCAACTTGAGAGACCGCACAGATTTTCCTGAATAAGCTCTCTGGATACGAGGCCGTCCCCACTTAGTCACAATCACATTCCCAGTAGTTGAGCCCCACAAGTGTGCTTGCCATCCCCATGGGGCAGAATACAGAGTCTGGGCTCCTACAGATTGACGTCTTATAACACTGGATAACTGGATGTCCCCTCTGTGCTTTCTTCCTTCTGGGGGAGGAATCATAGGTTGGAGATATCCCACTTACTTACTCTGGTACAGTATCTTGGTCTCTATGGTGGAGAGAGGTGCTTCAGCCTTGCTTTTGTCTTTTAGGATTCATTAACTGGTTTCTTGTTCATGAATAAGTTCTGTGAGAGGGGTGCTAAGTCAGGAACAACACCCTTTGTCATCATCTTGGTGGGGTCACTCTCCCTACACCTTCTTTCTTAATCTGTGTGGATTTTTGTAGACTCACAAGCTGTGAGTCATGGCCTTTGATGAGGCCCTGGGAAGGGGAGAGCAGAGAGAGGGGTGCAGACCCGTTACAGGCTGTGTGTGTGCTGGCTTGCAGGTGACCCTGTGGAAGGAGTCTGTTGACGGACAGTGGGTGTGCATCAGTGATGTCAACAAGGGCCAGGGATCCGTGTCTGCTTCTGTCACAGAGGGCCAGCAGAACGAGCAGTGACAAGACAGGCAAGCCCAGCTCCTCACCTGCTGACTCCAGGACTGCCCTTTCCTAGACCAACTGACTAAATAGCTGGGAGGAACAGCTCCAACACGATTACTTTCCCAGGAGTAGTTACAAATGCAGCCAGATTGATCATCTGCCTTAACATGATTTGATATGGTTTGTAATTTACTGTCCTGCTGAAAGCATTCATGTTATGAGGAAAAAACTACAAATGATCTTCAGATCTATTATTTTAAAATATTTTTGGCCATTTTTATGTACCTCTTGGGTTCAGGCATTATTTGGGGGGGGGGGTTGTTTCCAAAATAGTTAAATAAATTCATATTGCTTATAATTCTTCCTGCATTACCCTAACCCTTCCCTAAAACACTTATTTTTATTCTTGTTGCAACGTCAGTATACTAGAACAAGGTTCATCAAGACCCAGGTTCCTGTAGCACCCTCCCACCCCCATGCACACAAAGGTGGTCTGTCTTTGTAACATCCTCTTGATTCCAGTTATACTGAAGGCACCATACAGAGTGACGTGAAAGGAACACCAGATGTGGACTTCAGTGACGGGGACTGTATCATCTGAGCACACATCCTTTTCTGGAGAATGGGAATAAAAGTCTGCCTTACAGAGAAGACGCAGATGAACTAATGCATGTGGGTGACCCAGAAGATGCCATGCCAGTACAGGGCAGGATTAACCAAATACCAGTAGTTAAGAGAGGCTCAGGAAGAGGGCACACTTTGTTCATGTTATGGACCGTGCCAGTTCAAGGAGGGGCTGCTGGAGACCATGGTTCTGGTCCTCATCAAGCCTGAACCGGGTATCACCTCTTAGCAGAGGCTCCGAGACCCTCACCTGAATCACAACAGCAGCTACCATTTACTGAGACTTACTGCAAGCCGGCACTACACTGGAGACCCCGCACCTTTAGCAACACAGCAGAGCAGTACAAGTATTTGTCCCCAATTTACCAAATAAGGAAACTCAGAGAAGATAGTCACAGAAGATAGAAGACCCACCCGGGGTTGTCTGCTGCCAAGCGGTAAAGCCAGTGTTTGAGTCCTGCTCCGGTTCCACTCCCGAGTGGGTGCTGTCACAGGCAGAACTCAGGGAGTATGTGGGGGTTCCTCACCTATGATCTGGGGTGGTGTTCACAGCAGACCTTTATGTGCACTAAGCTTTGCAAAAAGGTCAGGCCACTCACCTCAGGAGGCTGTTTGCACAAGGAAGTGTGGACCCCAGTTCCTCTATGTGCTTTTCACCCATCATTGTTTAGCAGCAAAACCCGTTTTGAAATAAATATTAGAGCATAATGCATAACATGGGAAAAGGTGGAACAACTGTGCTTGAAGTAAAGATAGAGAGGCCAGAGCCCTGCCCCTCAGCCTCCCACATCGTTCTGCACAATCCAGGCCTTAGAAGCGCAGTTCCCATACTGTTCTCCAATCCATTTATTCAAATGAGAAAAGACCCACAAAGGCCCCTTTGCATACACTTCTCAGTAGACAAAAACTTAACTTAGTGCGAGTTAGCTTTTCACACATCTACCTTCCCTAACAAGCTCTGTGCTCCCTGAAGGACAGGCCTGGTCTTCCTTACGCTACCTGCTACCATCAAGAAATAATGAGAACTAGTCCTGTGTTACACAGTGGATAGGTGATAGATTAGCCTTATGCTGTTTGTAGCTCACACCACCGAGGGTCAGAGTAATCTGGAGGTGAATGAAATGACCACCCGTAATAGTTTATGCTCACAGTGGTACTACACTAGCCATTCCTGGGGTGAGATTCCTCAAATTTGTTACCACAAAAAAGGCTAATCAGTGGAAATACTATGTTGTATCAATCTTCAAGGGCACTTGCCAAGACCAAGTGATACAAATGTAGGGGTAATTTAAAACGTATAAAGAGGGTAAGAGAGGAGTAGCAACCACAGTGTTTCTTTAATGCTTTTACAAAAAGCAACTGGGATAGGAAAAAAAAAAATAGAATTAAGGTATTCCCTCAAACCCTGAAGATTAGGGCCAAACCATATCGATAACGCCTGTGTAAGAGTAGCATAGGTAAGAGGAGAGTTTTTATACTCCCATGAGCCAGGTAACCCAAGAATTACCATCAAGTAATCGTCCATTCAGAAAATTCAGCAAGCCAATGTGAGAACTGACAAAACTAGATTTTATAGGCTCCCACAAGTGAGTTCAAAAAGATTTCCACTGTAACACATGAAGGAGTACTAGCCATAAGAGTTTCCCTCACAGCACAAACAACTAGAAAACCACATTAATATGCATGAAACAAATGCTTATGGGCAGAGGACAACAGGTAGTGTTTCAGTAAGGGAAACAAGCAGGAGCCCTAGTCACCCAGCCTACTGCCTTGGAGCAGCTTCCAAGCCAAAGCACAGGGAGACAATCCAAAGTCTAGTGGTCAAGTTGAAGAGACAGAGGTCCAGAAAGGCTAAGCTAGAACCTACTAGGCAGGGTCCTGGAGAAGAGGGAGCTGCTCAGGGCAAGCTCCTCAGATCTGCAGAAGTGTCTCCTACAGTGGGACCAAGTCCTAACCTGCATACATGAAAGGCAAGACACTTCATGACCAGAAACCAACAGAGCACACAATTTTTGAACTCCCAGAGAATAGTTGACGTGCCCAAGATCCAGAGTACATCATCAGAATACACAGGGCATTGGGTAGAGTCCTAAGAAAGATCATGTCTTAATAATACATCCTAAATTAGGTCTAGAATTAGAGGTTCCTTTGGACCATAAAACCAAGCCTTGAGGTCCACAGTAATTTCACGTTGTGCCAAGTTAGCCCAACACTCTTTAAAGGAAAAATAAAATTCACAATGTCCAGCTTCCAATCCAAAATCCCCAGATGTGCAAGGAGGAAGAAAATACAGCTCATAACCAGAAGAGGAAAAAAAAAATTGATACGAAATAAGACTGGGGGGACGCCTGAATGGCTCAGTGGTAGAGTGTCTGCCTTTGGCTCAGGGCATGATCCTGGGGTCCTGGGATCTAGTCTCACAAAAGGGCTCCCCACAGAGAGCCTGCTTCTCCCTCTGCCTATGCTTCTTTTTCTGTCTCTCATGAATAAAATCTTAAAAGAGAGAGAGACCATGGGATTAGCAGATACAGACCTTAAGAAATACTATTATAAATATGGTCAAGAATCTAAAGGAACAAGTGCAAGAAAAATGATACCAAAAAGTTGCAAATGGAATTTCCAGAAATGAAAAATTCATTATCTAAAGTGAAAAATATACTGGGCAGGAGTAAGCAGATAGACGTTGCAGTGTAACTGATCAGTAAGTCAAGACATGGCAATAAAAACCATACAAACAAGCACATAAAGACTGAAACCAGTCAATTGACCTGTGGGACACTGTCAAGTAGTCTAGGATAGGTGTAAGTTGGAGTCCCAAGGAGAAAAAAAAGGGGGGGGGGGGGAGAAAGGGACAGAAAAAATATCCAGTAAAATTTTTCCAAGCTGGATAAAAATTATAACCATACAGATTCAAGGAAACCAGAGAACCCCAAGCAGAACATTAAAAACTCATGTATACAGACCCCATAATAAAATTGCTGAAATAAAAATTATAAAATCAGAGAGACATACTACATAGAAACAAATGAAATGGCAGCCAGCTTCTCATCAGAAAATTTGCAAACCATAAGAAAATAAACACCTTTGAAGTGCTGAAAGAAAAAAAGGAAAGGACAATCATCAGACTATGATTCTATAGCTAGTGAAAAAATCTTTCAAAAATAAAAGTGAAAAAATGGAATTTTTCAAGTTAAAGCTAAAAAAAATAATCACCAGGAGAACTGCATTATAAGAAATGTCAAAGGAAGTTCTTCAGGTAAAATGAAAATAGTATCAGATGAAAATATGGATCTATACCAAGGAATAAGGAGCACCAGGAATAGAAAAAAATCTGGGTAACTTACACTTTTTCCATTTATCTAAAATATTATTTTAAGTGCATTGTGAGCTTACAACTTATGTAGAAATAAAATTAACAATAGCACAAATAATGGAAATGAGGAAATTGAAAGTATTCTGTTGTAAGGATCTTATGGTATCTTTGAAATGTTATATGTGTTGAAGGTATACTGTATTATGTTGAAATTGTATTTTTAAATCCTAGGCCAACCACTAAAAGAGTAAAGCAGAAAATAGCTGACAAGCCGGTATAGTGAAGATAGCAGGAAATCCTAAAATATACTTAATCCAAAAGTGGTTATGAAAAGAGAAAAGAAAAAGAATGAACAGATGGGGTGGGGGTGGGTGGGAGGGAGAAAAAGTGGGACAAATTGGAGGCAAAGAGCCAGATGATAGATTTAAACCAAACTTTATGGGTCATTGCAATAAATATAAAAGGTCTAACACTAAATGAAAAGCCCCTGATAAGAGATTAGCAGAATGGACTTTAAAAAAAAAAAAAACAAGACCCAACTATTTGCTGTTTATATGAAATCCACTTTAAGCATAAACATAAACACAGAAATAAAACAAAATTCTATTTAAAAAAAAAGATACACTATTTAAACAGTAATCAAAAGAAAGCTCAATCTCTATATTAACATCGGAGTAGACTTCAGAACAAAAAATATATTAGAGATGAAGAGTGACAAAATAGTAAAAGGGTCGTGGCTCAGTGGTTTAGTACCTGTCTTTGGCCCAGGGCCTGATCCTGGAGACCCAGGATCGAGTCCCACATCGGGCTCCCTGCATGGAGCCTGCTTCTCCCTCTGCCTGTGTCTCTGCCTCTCTCTGTATGTGTGTGTGTGTCTCTCGTGAATAAATAAATAAAATCTTTAAAAATAAATCTTAAATATTTATGCACCTAAAATAGAGCTTCAAAGTAAGTGAAACGAAATGGACAGAACTAAACAGAAGTAATCTACAATTCCAGTTGGAGATCTCAACATTCCTCTGTCAGTAACAGAACAAGCAGACCAAAAAAATCAGTCAACTTATAAAACAAACCAATGATCACTCAGGTGGACCTAACTGGCACTTATAGAACACTCTACCCAACATTTAAACTCATTCTAAAGTACATTGAGAACAGTCATCAAGAAGAGACCAATTTCTGGACTCTCAAACAAAATTTAACAAATCTAGAAGAACTGAAACCATACAGAACACATTCTGTGACTATAAAGAAAGTAAATTAGAAGTGAGTAACAGGTATTCAGAAAATCCTCAATGTTTAGAAATTTAAGCAGTCTACATCTA